AAATTTCAATTACAAAGTAACTGACTTAGTTTTTTTTATTTAATTTTTTTGTTAAATAATATACCTATATTTTATTTAAATAATATATTTTTATTTTATACGTATATATTTTTATTTTTATTTTTTATAGGTACATTATTGGATATGTAATTTACAGATATATTTTTTTGGTTTGCAATTTTAGGGGGTGGTATGTAAGAGGGAATGACAACCAAAAGAAATGGGGTGATTGATATGCTATTAATAGGGAGTGTTAATTACAATTATGACAGTTAATGAAATGCTTGAAATAAATTATAAATAAAATATGAAGTTTGGTGGCAACGATGTAAAAATATAGGAATACTATGACTTCTTATATCCTATTTGTCATTTAAATTTGAAATTGGGTTTTACACATAGATTTGTAGAGTGATGGGTATATGTCTAGGAAATAGAAAATGTAGGGATCTATATTGAACAAGCCCTTGATTTTATTATGAATTTCATTCTTAATAAAACTAAATCACAAAAATATAGTTTTCCTAATATGATATGCAAATTCAAATTACCTTGTAGACATAGTCAACCCTTGATCTACTCAATCTGGATAAGTCTTGTGGCCCAAGTTAATTTGCCTAAAAATTAGGCCTAAATCTACACAACGAGGACACAATTACAAGTCTAGGAAATTAAGCCAATTCCTAAGTAAATTCACATTTACAATCCTAGCTCATTTTACTATCCTCCACTGGCGAATTTAGGAATTATCCTTCCTAAGGACAAGAACTTGTAAACTCTGGCTTAGCAACGACCTGTAAAGTTTGGCCTAATGCAGCTCAAGTCTCAACCATTTCTTTGCCCTGTCTTAGCCTTCTTTGAGCCATTTTATCAAAAAAAATTGCCCCCATTCAAAAGAAAATACCATGAAAACTTGACAGCTTCATGGGTGTAGAACAAGAATGAGTTGGGGGCTAGCTAGTGCTTTCACTAACTCCTTACTAGATCCGCCAGTGCTATCCTCTCACTGGCATCGGCAAGTTGAGCACAAGTTCTTTATTGATATAACATATTTGAATGTATAGTCACTCAAGATATATATATTCTAACATTCCGAAATTGAATATACAGCAATAATATGACCCCCTAAATAAAAATCCAGTTCATTTTCAAGCTAAAATACAAGAAGAGTAGCAGAGGATGACATGTCGTATGTTTGATTTGGACGTCTCCAGCATTGTCAACATGCAAAACATGTAAATAACAATCAGCATTTATTATATACATGAATGAAATGGCCGCAATGCATGACCAATTACTTCAAGTAAATATCATTTTACTCTGTTTTTTTTACTGTAATTAAGATCAAAACACTGCTATTGCTGAATATTATGAGAACATTGTTTCGTAGGGGACAAGAATTAAGCAGACCTGGAATTTATAACTAATAAACACACACAAAAATCCAAACTCCATAATCCCAAAAGCTTATCCCACCATGTTGCTTTGCCAGGTTGTATACCCTAGGCATCATTTCCAATCCAATGTGCCCATATGGGTCATTCTAATTATTTTAATCCCAACCCTACCTCACTCTACATCTATAAAAGCCCTAGCTAGCTACCAATCTGAAACACAGCACATCTATCAAGTTATAAATCCTTCTGAAGCTAAGAGCCTTTCTTTTTCACAAGCCAATCAGATCATCAATTTCCCAAATGGCTTCCAAGGCTCTAGCTTCCACTGCTCTCCTCCTCTCCCTCAACCTCCTCTTCTTCACTTTGGTCACCTCCACCAATGTTGCTTGCCCACCACCTGAGAAAAAAGGTCACAAACACCAGCCCAAGCATGCAAGTCCTGCACTACCCAACCCTAATCCCTCTAAGCCTGCCACGTGCCCCAAAGACACATTGAAATTGGGGGCATGTGCTGACGTGTTGAATGGTTTGGTGCACCTTGTTGTTGGTCCACCAAAGTTCCCTTGCTGCAGCCTCATTGAGGGCCTTGTTGATCTTGATGCTGCTGTGTGCCTTTGCACTGCAATCAAAGCTAATGTCTTGGGGATCCACTTAAACATCCCCGTTTCACTCAGCCTGCTCTTGAACTACTGCGGGAAGCAGGTCCCAAGTGGCTACGAGTGTGCTTAAATTTGAAGTACTATTTATGCGTACTGCTCTCAATTTTTAGCACTTGGGTTTTAATTAATTTCCTTTGTTTCTCATTTTCATCATGGTGTGCCTAAGAGCTTTGTTGGGATGTTTATTGGTATATTCCATTATCCATTCTTATTATAATAATTCTTTCTATATTGTTTTGATGGACGGATGGATGGTAGGCTACTTGCCTTCTTCCACATCCTCTATAGCAATTGTATTTTATTGAAAATATTATTGATTGAGCTGAAATAATGAATTGTGATGTTTCAGAAAGTAATTGAATTTGAGTTCCTTGCAATGTTTGTTCTACTACTACAATTTTATTTTCTGGGTATATGCACTACTGCTATAGTACTCCTGTCTCTTATGCATTGTGAGGAACATGAAATCCCTTATTCATTGGGTCCAAAATTATAGTTGGAAGCGACAAAATTGATTGTGATTTTTCTAAGAATTGTTAAGTTTTTAAAGAGCATCCGAAAGATGGAACCTTAATGTAAGAGCTTAAAAGATCTTTGGCCCGCCAACGGGGTCTAACTCAATGGAAAAAGACATTGACTTGCAGATCATTAATCTCTGGTTCTAACTCAATGAAAAAAGACATTGACTTGCAAACCATTTATCAACACATGCTTTTTGTTGACCTTATTCTTATTATAGCATCATTGATTCATCGCACATTTCACTTGTGTAAGTAGCTAGATATAAGCATAACTTTGAAGTTAATTATTATATTGATATTAACAAGCTTTCAAGAATCACTTTCAAATGCTTTTTCAAAAAGCAATTTGATTTTTAATACGAACTTTGACGTTCTTCTAATAATAGAAGCACTTTAGAAAAAAGGTGTTTATGGGCAAATTTTCTTATCAAAGAAGTCACAAACGGGTTACGGGTCCGTCCGTTATTAGAGATCCAACTTTCTAGATAATTTCAGACTGAATTTAGAGAGACCGAGAATGAATTTGAAGTTAATCATGTTAATATTACAAAGGAACATGAACAAAGGTGGCCCAGAGTCTGTAGATCCAACTGGCCAGATAAATCACGTATATGCTAGCTTGTCAATCGTAAATTCGAATTGAAAGTTAGCTATTTAATCAATAATTAATATATGAGTTAATATTATTTTACCCCCTTAAGATTTGGGGTCATTCTTGAAATGGACCACGCAACTTTAATTTTGTCAATTTACGCCATAACGTTTTAAAATTCGACCAATTTACACGTTTCAGTCAATTTGACCGTTTAGTCTTCTGTTAAGTGATAATGTGGCAAACACGGGATCCACCTTTTAGATTAAGTGTAATAAAATATATAACAAATAATATTAAAAAAATTCTTTATTTTTAAAGTTAATTAAAATCAATTATTTAAAACAACAAAAAAACATAATTAAAAAATCCAACACTGTGATCAAACTCCACAGCCGTCACCAACCAACTCCAAACCCAGCATCTCCACTACCTTCCTCCTCCTCCTTCTCTTCCACTATCCCAACCTTCGTTCTCAACACCCATTTCTCCTTCAGATGCCTACGCTCATCTCCACCGTTCAGAGGAAGGAGACTGGGGGTAAGGATGGTTTCAGATCTGAGGTGCACTGGGTTGGGGAAGGGGAGAGTGGGTTGTTTGCAGGTGGTGGTTGTGAGGTAGTCTAGGGAATGGTTGTGAGGTGGTCTGGGTTGAAAGAGAAGAGAATGTTTGGTGGTGGGGTTGGTGAACACCTTGGGAGTTTGGTTATTTTTTGGTTTTAAATAATTGATTTTAATATTTTAAATTAATTTAAATAGTAATTTTTTATTTTTTTTTTACATATTTTATTACACCTAAGCTAAAAAGGTGGACCCCATGTTTGCCACATCATCACTTAACAAAAGACCAAGCGGTCAAATTGACGGAATGTGTAAATTGGTCGAATTTTAAAATATTAGGGCTTAAATTGATAAAATTAAAATCGCGTGGCCCATTTTAAGAATGACCTCAAATCTTGAGGGGGTAAAATAATGTTAGCCTTTAATATATCAAAAAAATGAGAACATAATTAAGCTGCTAAAAATTTTCAACAACAAAATTTAAAGCAAAACTACATTGCGAATCAATTTATTTTTGGACAACCATTGCAAATCGATGGTGAAGACAATTCTTAATTTAATTTAAATTAAATTTCTTTTAATTGGAAAATATCCCAAGTTCAAATCCTATGTCCCAGGTGACAGAAAACAAGTTCCAACAGTCCAACTTGTAGCTCCTTGTTTCCTGTAAAGATCAACAACCTATGGATTCATCATTAGCCCGCTAAAGATCCACCGCCTTTCAAACGAGTCAGAAAAACGACAACTCGATTTTAACACTTGACTAAAATTTTGTAATTTTACAGGAATTATTTGACTTTCTTTTTTGTTTTTGTCAAAAAAGTCATTTTCATCTTAAATAAATATGGCAACGGCAAAAATATAATATTATTGTCGCCAATGACGACTATTATTGGAGTGGACTCAAGCTAAGGTGATTTCTTCGTTGCTTCACGTCATTTAATATATGATATTCATATGTTACGTTTGAAATTTCACCACACATGCATGGACGTGTGTAAGAATGTGAAGAATATCCTACGTTGAACAAAAATAAGCTCATCACAATCAAAAGCAAATCCTATCAAGTGGACACCATTATTACAATTTCTAGGCACATGCTTAAGTTTAAAAACTATATCATCAATCCCATTGTTTAAACAACCATACTGTGTGTGCATATATATAAAAAAAATTTAGAGAGATTCCTCAAATAAGTTTATTTGAGAGACATCCTTATGGATCCACTCTACATTGTATTTCCCAAAATCCGAACTGTTTATCATTTAGATATTCATTCAAATATTATTTCTGCAAAAAATACTTGCATCCGAAATCATTTGACAACTCAACTAATAGTTGTCATTTTAGTGCTTTCTTGAAGCACCTTGTTCGTCTATTTTGTTGGTCACAACTAGATGTCTTAATAATTTTTGATTTGTCTAATTTTTTACAAGGATGATCTATAATGAAGACTTGAAAAATGGAAAGTTTGGATCGTTGGAAAAAAATTATAATGAACCCTAAAAAGTGTCCCACCTCTCCCACCCTCAAAAGGGGACTGGTTAATTATATATATATGAGCTACTATAATTAATGTGTTAGACTAGTGTAGGATAACTTCTCCCAATAATGTGATCTTAACCATGTTATTATACGAATTTCAGCACCAAATTTATATTCCAAGATACTGATATTGTAAAAGTGTCGGCGGATATATGTAGGTAAGGAGAATAGCGATATTCGTTCTCATCCTATCAGATATGAGTTACAATTTTATTTTATTTTTGGTTTGGTAAATAGGAAGATCACATGTTCACATCGTGGAATGTACCCAAAATAATTGCACTTTCTTTCTGTACCGCAAACCCTAAAGCTAGCTCTACCTTTTTTTTTGTGCAAAGTTACTTTCCTCCATAACCCGCCAACGAAAGAAAATAGGGAATGGACCAAACATGATTTCTCATGTCTCTGCAAAATCTATAATCTCTGGGAAACAACCGAATAACAAGCTGGTGGGTTCTGAAATCCAACACATGCATATTCACGGATTGCACTTCTGTCAACTAGTCACGGATTGTTTATTGAAGTTTGCAGATCACCAACAACAATCCAAACTCTCCATTTTATTTTCACTTGGAAATCTCCACAGCTATCATGTTTTTTACCACAGCTGCTTGTTGTTCTTCCACGTTTAAATATAGTCCTTGTTTTCCCTTCCATTTGTCACACACAAAACTCACGGGTTGTTCATAAAATTCAGCTATATATAATCCTTTGGACCGTCAAACCCATCAAAACCCAGAAGTAAAGTATAACTAGTAGCTAGTGATCTTGTAAAATCATGGGTTCCAAGGTCACTGCCATGTTCTTCATCTTTTTGATTTGCATGGTTTTGGCTTTGCCTCCAATTCAAGCTTGTACACCTTGTACTCAGCCACACCCATCAAAACCACACCCTCCACATCATCCATCACATCAACCACAACCACCTTCCCACACTCCAACCCATCCCAACAA